AGCATGGCAGGGAACACACAGGGAGCATGGCAGGGAACACACAGGGAGCATGGCAGGGAACAAGGCAGGGGACCACAGGGAGCATAGCAGGGAGCGTGGCAGGGAACACACAGGGAGCATGGCAGGCAGGAGAAGTGGCAGGGATCACACGGGGAGCATGGCAGGGAGCGTGGCAGGGCGCATGGCAGGGAACATGACTCACGGGGAGCATAGCGGGAAGCATGGCAGGGAACACCCAGGGAGCATGGCAGAATGCAAGGCGGGGAATGAGGCAGGGAACATGGCAGGGAACACATAGGGAGCATAGCAGGGTGCGTGGCAGGGAGCAATGATTTAGCAAAGATGAGAATATATTTTAAACCACCACCAGTATTCGAAGTTAGCTTACCTTACAGACAGAGAGAGCATTGAGCTGCTAAGATTGAAGAGTGTTCAGGGCGGATATAGGATTTATAGGCTGAAAAAGTCTATCGGCCCAACTGCTGGAGAGAAGCCACAGAGACACCATGAGCAGCTGCTTTGTGGCTGCCCCTATCCTAAATGAGTGGCTGGAATAATGACTGGATGAAAAGCCACAGGATTCTAATAGTATTCTGAGATGGTCTTGGAACCAGCGTGGTGACGCGGGAGAACCCTCGGGTGTGACAAAGGGGCTTTGAAATTAGGGAAAAACTTTTGGCGCTTTTGGACAAATTAAACATGGTGATAAACGGGCAAAAGGGGCCATCTGTACGTGCGATAGAAATAGAACAAGGGCCTTTCCATTAGAATGATTCAAGATATTTGTAAATATCGATGTGGAAAAGAAGATCCGAAAGAGACGAATGTCGGGAAGGATCGAAACGACTATTAGTTGAAGTGAAGCTAAACCTGATTTATGTAGAAACGGAGGAAGTAAGTACGAACGAAATGAGTGGGTTAGTTGAGGATGAGTTCTTCTAGCGGAGGAACGGGGTCGGAAGGAGATCGGCAGAAGGACGAAGATGTGGAAGGTCTGAAATTTAAAACGAGGGGGAGCATCAGCAGCATGGTTAGAAAGACCAGGAAAGTGTCGAGCAGAGATGATGGAGTTGTAAGAGACTGCTTGCCAAGTTATGCCTCTAATGAATGGCATGAGAGATTGAGAGGAGGAGCGACCTTATAGATGGCGTCAACGACTGCCATGTTGTCGCAGAAGCGGATATGCGCTTTCTCCT